TGTGTAAATGTTTTATGGAGAGATGAGGAAGCAGGGAACCATAGTTGCTCAGCGTGAGACCACAGCTCTTAAGACATGTATGCAGACTTCACTAGTTCAGTGCACAGCTAGTTTTTTTCCATTGGAGATGCCTAAGAGGACTGTAACACAAGGCTGGGTCCTGGGTCCCTCTCTCCCCTCCCCTTCTCCCAGCTGTTTGAATGAACCTTTTTGGAAATGTAACAATACAGAAAGACAGTTAACTTTAGTTTTTGTTCTTATGTCTTCAACAACTCATTTGATTATTTCCAAAGGCTAAAGGAGAGAATTCTCTTTGCCCATATGTAAGTTTCTAAAATCAGTTTTCTTTTTTGCTTACCTGGCACAGATCCACGAAGGAAAGGCAGTCTAATTACATTTCCAGCACAGTGGTTCTTTGAAGTATGAACTAATTAGGAATGGGCATTACAAGAGTTTAGACCAGCACTCAGGACAAGAATGCATCATGTAACCATCACTAATTCATTAGGATAACCAAAGCTTATTTCCTTCAAGTAAAGATTTGCACATTCTCACCTACAGCACTGTACTATATAAATACTTCTTTGTAGCTCCTCTGAAAGCACAACTCTGTTTAAAAGTAAATTAGCCAGCCAAATTGAAAGGCTAATTGCCTTAAGCTTCAAGTACAAAGGATATCCACACTTAGATTTCTTTGCCAGCTGCAAGAGGCTGAGAAGATGTGTTTTCAGAAATCCTAACAGGGTATCTCATGACACTTCAGAATTTTAATGTGGTGTCATAAATCACTAACTTATTCTTGCTCCGGTATTGTTTGCAGAATCTATTGTTTGCAGGAAATACAACCCTGTTTAGTCTGGTAACAGTTTATGTCAAATATCTGAAAAGGTCTTACACTTTACATTGCTTCCTCTTATGATTTTGATCAGAAGAAAAATTAGTATACCTGGTTTAATTCAGAACTTGTTTTTGCAAGAGAAAAACTGATGAAGCTTACAATTCCTTTACAGACTTAACATTTTTCTGGATCATTTCAGCTGGATATATGGATACTCTTCTGTGTTTCCTGCTTAGTTTTTCTTGTTTTCTCATTCCCACCTTTCAATTTTTAATTAAGTCTAATCCTCACTGAGTAAATACAGTGACAACCTTTGCAATGTGTGTGTCCAGTGTGATTCACAGAATCATGTCCTTTTTGTATGGATCATTTTAACTTGTGGATGTTATGTGTCAGCTGCTGCTGCTGAGACTTACACTGTGCTTTTTATCAAGGTTGTACAGAACTGGGAGCTTGCAGGATTGATCAAATGTATTTTCTCCATATGATAATTCCCAACCCTTCTGCCTTTTAATGAACTCATATTCTTGTTCTTACGCTTAAACCAACTTCTAAATATTCCACAAATCTACCTATAACAATTACTCTAAATTATTTTTTAGTTTCACAGAATGTAATGATTATGTAACTTCTCTTTATTCTCAGCTCACTGACTGTAGTCTCAAGTAGCTGCTTCTGTTACATGATAATGTCATTGAGCTATGTGTAAGCCTGAGGAATGAAATGGCCCTGTTTCATATCTGACTCCTGGTGGGTGAGCACAAGTACCACCCAGAGCTCTTCACAATCTATCTGCAGGAATAAGCTTTTTTGAAAAAAAAAAAATCACTTGTCAGATGTGTGCTTGCATAAATTTGAGTGACTACAAAGTTTAGAGAATAAGAACAAAGTGATTGGTTTGGGAATCTTTTTGGTTTTGTTTTCTATTACAATTTAATGTGTATGTACATGTTTCTGTCATTAAAGTTTAAAGCATTCAGACAGGTTTCTAAAGAAAGGTTAGCTTGTACAAGATAAGCCTCATGGTGAGATTCTGCACTGACTCAATGCAGAACTGTACTTGTCCTGAATGTTCTAGAACCAGTATATTTCAAAGGTATGTTTTTTCAACCTGAACTTTAAAGAAGAAAGGAAGGAGATGAGATTTTTAAAACAATGGAAGCTTTCTTTGCATGTAATAACATTTTTAGTTTTTGAACAAATACATGCATCACAAGATGTGATCATTTATGTTAAAATCTGTCTTACGGTGTGAAAAATGGCCATGCTTTAGAATATCAGTGCATGTTTGCCACCAACATTTTCATTTTAAAACCTCTAGAAGGGACTAAACAAAGCTTTTCAAGCACAAGTGATTTGCTTTACCAAATGTTCGGATCTCCACATCCCAGGGGGATAAGGGCTGGGATTTCTGTAAGGAACAGGCAGACTTCTGAGGCTTGGCATGGTCGCATCTCTGGCTGCAGGTACAGGTTCTCTCCAGGGCTGGACTGGTCAGACTATGCTGCTACAAGCCCTCCTATGCTCAGTGTAGGCATTTTCTCAGAAGTAGTTTGCATCTGCTGCTCCCATCAGTTGTTGGGAGGTCATTGCTGCTTATAATCAAGCCACCTTTTAATTTAGATGCAGAGCTTCAGGCAACAAAGGTTGTTTTAAAATTTCAGCTTGTGTTTTTTAATTCTTGAATTAGTCGCAAGAGATTGTTTCAATGACTCGTTTGTCCTGTGTATGCAACTTTGTAGTAAAACTGAGTTTATAGTTATTTTTTTGTTAAAACAAGAGTGTACCTTGGCAGTGATTTCTTTTTATTTGTTTGAAGGTTAGTTTTCTTTCTATACTGGCAGCTGGGATGCCTAAGGGTGCAGGTGCAGTGTGCTCAATTGTTCTTTCTGGGTGCGTCCATATTTATAAATACTTTGGTGATGTCAGGACTGCATTCTTGAGGCAAATGTTCTGATTTCCCCGTGTACCCTGCTTTGGCCCATAATTGAGCAGTCTCAGGCTTTGTTTTGTTCCTCTGGAGGAAAGGCAGCAGAAACATGCAGTCCAGGAGTGTATGTGCCTTGTGCTGCAGTACTATTGTGCTAATGCAGTGCCAGCCTGGTGCTTTCTAAAACAACACTTCTTGGGAAGCTTTGGTGCTCCATCAGTCTTCTTTCTGCTCCATGCATCTTCCCAATGCAGATGTTTGCCTCTGCCAATTTTAAAGGTATCCAAACCAACTGAGCTTCATTAAGGTCTTACAGATGATTAAAATAATTGCTGAATCATACTTTGGATTATTTTCTGTCTGCAACCAAAAGTAAGAGATTTTTGATAGGACAGGATTTTTAAACTGTAACATTTTAGTACTCAATAATGATTTGTATGTACAACTTGTAAAAGAATTTTTGTTTCAGAACATTTTACTTCAGAGAACAAAAGCTACAATAGTGATGTTGAAATGAAATATGGAAAACAAAGGGACTAGGGGAGGTTATTTATGGTTTAAAATACATTGAAAAATAATAAATACTGAAGCTCTAAGGAGATTAAATTTTCAGATGAAAACGTTATCTTAGCTGAGTCAAGGATCTTGGTTGCTGGCCTTGAAATATGATACTTACACTTAAATGATTTAGTGTGACAGTCTCTAGCCTAGGTTTTCAAGATCACCAGTATTTTGTTTTTAAATTAATTAGGTACCTGTATGCTACAATTATTTTTAATAATTAGTTTTATTTTTATTTGGTGTGATTTATACCTTAATGTATTGTTAATATTGTTTGATGACAGAACTGTCATCTATTAGAAACAAACACATGAAGTGTATTTAGAATTCTTGATCAGTGAATTGTACTTGAGAGGGAATCTGTACCAATACTAAGCATGGGTTAGTTAGGAATATGATGAAATACTCTATCCTACCATATATATGACTAACTATTTCTGAAGCTTTTTCTGTTTACACCCCTGTGCCAGAGAACAGAACAGACTTTCTCTTGGTAATAAACTTAACTGGATTATGAAAGGGGTAATCTAGTGTTACTTGTGAATGCTGCACTCTTCTGGGGAGGATTACTGCTACTTTTAGTTTTAATGTTTGTGTCTTTCAGTGCTCCTGCCTAACAGAGTGGTAAGTATACACAAAATTCTGTGCTGCTTTGGTTCCAGGCAGGAAAAAGGATCTTGTGTTTGAAGTCTTTTGCTTCTGAAACCTGAGCATAGGTGAACTCTTGCCTGGAAAGAGCTGCTTTTGTGCACTGCTTTCTGAGCCAGCCTTTGGCCATCCAGAGTATCTGGGTGGTGAGGGATAAGAATATATATCAATTTATGTAGCTGAGAAAACAGAATTATTTTCTATATGAGTTACCCTAGATGCACTTTCCCCCCACCCCCAATTTCTTGTCTGCTGGTTTAGCACCATACCTTAAATAAAATAGGAACGTTCCCCCAGTATATGTAAAACTGTATTTTGTGTAGCTAGATGATGAGGTTTTTATTCTCTATGGCAAGTTAATATTTCAGGCTATTGGATTGTTCTTCAGGGATTTACCATGATTTTCTGTAGCTTGCACAAGACTAATGTTAACTGACTTTCCCCTGTAAAATAGTTTGAGTTGTGAAGGTATTGATGGACTAATATAGATAACATACAATCTTTGTATGAAGCTTTAGATCTGGATGCATGTGAAAGTGGAAAGGCTTCATTAGTCTCATTTGAACAGTCTGATGCCTTCCAGTGTTTCCATAACATTTTTTGTTGGCATCTATTTTGTTGAATCGTTGTATTTGAAGCAGTGGGCGCTGCTATAGCCATTGGAAAGTGAGGAGCTCTGGAACCAGTGTTTAGTAAGGCAGAGGAAATGTATTTGAAAATCATCTTAACCTCTGCTACAGATGCAATAATAAATCTACTTTAAAATAGAGAGCTTGCTTAACAAAATAATGAGTTGTTCCAAGTTGCTGTGCACAGACTGTGATATATTACCAACTTATTATTTCTGAGCTCTGTGGTGTGTCACGAATGCATTTATTTCTATATTAAGCAATGCCTCTGCAGTTTGCAACCTTGTTAGAACTGGTTGCTGGGTCATGCATTACAGCATTTTAAAACAGAAAACACAGTTTTAATAGTAAGGATTTGTTGCTGTCTAGTAACAATTTTGTCTCTTCTTTGTAGGTATGAAGCGTCCATTAAGTCCTGACCACATTGTTGAAGATGGGACTATGAATCAACCAGCTGTTCTACAGGCCTTTGAAGAAAAAGGACTGAGGAATGACAGACAGGATTACCAATTAAGCAAAGAAAAAAAGAAGATACTATTTTCCTTCTGTGAAGTGTGCAATATACAGCTGAACTCTGCAGCCCAAGCTCAAGTTCATTACAACGGGAAATCTCACTTGAAAAGAGTGAAGCAGCTAAATAATGGAAAGCTCCCTACAAGTACAGCTCCTGGCACTTTGTTTGCAAGTACAAGCACAGGTACATAATTAGATTGATATGTTGCATCTTGGTCAAGAATTCTAAGGAAGCTTTTAAACTGTACCTTCTGCATGTAACATAACCATTAAACTTAATATAGATTAATACTATTAGTTAATATTTTGCCACGTTCAGAATTACTGGTGTATTTCTTTACCCGTGAAGACAAGTGGTATTGAGGCAATATTCCATTATTCCAGGCAATATTCCATTATTCCAGGCAATATTCCATTATTCCAGGCAATATTCCATTATGTGTTAGATCTTGAGGTATGGTCTGTTTAAAAGTAACTCTTGTGAATCCAAATACTTAGACATTTTGTCATCTGCTTTTGTTCCCAAAAGAAAGTTCTGGAGGGATGCAACATGTACAGGAGAAACTTTTAAATGAAATCTAGTAATAGAATGATGGAGGAGGAGAGCTGGAATTTACAGGCCTGGCCCTTTGATTCTTTCTCCTTTCAGCCCTCTGTGTTTTAACCACTCTTATACATAGAATTGGTTAGGTTGGAGAAGACCTCTAAGAAAGAAGTATTTCAAAATAAGACTTTTACTTACTGGGAAAAACAGAAGTCTTGGGCAGAATGCATTTAGCGTGCATAATGTAAAGATACAAAGCACATAATATGCTGTTCTGTTTTTTGGGGGTAGTTTGTTTCTTTTCATTTTAGTGTTAGTTCATAACTACTTGAGAAAAATCTAAAAGATCTCAGATCTTCATACAAGAAGTTTTCTCAGTTGTAATATTAGTATTTATTTGCTATGTTAATACACTGCCTTTTTTTTCTTTTATTTCATTTTGTATAGAAATAGTCAAGCTGCATTGAAAGGTTTTGCTTTTTCTTCTGATTTTGTTCCTTGTTACTTGAATATTACTTGTTTTGAAGTCTGTGGTACTGTTTTGTTTGACTTAGAACTAAACAGTATGAGAGTATCACTAGAGAGATGAAATTCCTATTGAAAAACATCTGGATTACTTAATTGTGAGCATTCTTAAAATAACTAATATCTGTGAGGCATTATGATTGATTTAAGATTGCTCTGTGTGTAGACCTACAATGCAAACATAAAAACATTTTTTATTTTTGTTGCTTTTTGTTATCTGAACTCCTTCATCTGATAACTTTGCTGTCATTCCTGGGGATCACAGCTGATGCTCTGGCATCATTACTCAAAGAATGCTCTGATGCTCAGAATACAATTATGCTTGATGGAGCACATGCTTTGGGGTTACTGCATAGCTTGGGAGTTAAAATTCATGTTTTTTTCTACCTTGTTTACCGATCTCTATATTAGACTATTAGTTGTATAGTAGTTATGCTGGTCTATCTAGTGCATGCTGAAATAAGCACTCTTTTTTCATAGCTGAGGGATATTGTGTTCATAGCATTTAAAATAAAGAAATTCCTTATAATAGACAACTTATTATTACTGTGATTACATAAACAATTTATTATACTGTTTAAGAACCACTGTGAGAACAAGACTTACTAGATGTAGTTCTCAAAGAACATTTTCCAAAAATAACTAGAAATTAATTTTCTTATAAATAGACATTATCCAGGCTCAGTTTTAATCCATGTCCTCTGGAGTGTTATTACCTCTTGTAATGGAAGTCTTCCTTTCCCATTTCTTCAGCTAACATTGTAAACAGAACTAATTGTGCAGATGGTAAGAGAGTAATTATATTAATCTCACCTCACCAGTGAATAGACTTTATTCCACACACAAAGGAAGCAAATAGCCCCTCTGATACTTCGCTGTTATAGCTGCACCCTTCTAACAAAGCATCTAGTGAACAGTTCAGCACACCTTAGGAAACTTCCTGCAAGAGTTCCATCCAGTGTCAGGTTGGAGGTTTTTCTCTGTATTCAGTAGATGAATGTGAAAGCAATAATATTCCCACTGGAAAATGAGGTGACTGTAAAATATATGTGACTGTAAGTTTTCCTTGACACTTGAGAAACCAGGATTACAGATCTGCCAGAACTGTCTTGATTCTGTGTGACAGAATTGATGGATTGCTGACTCCAGTTCTCCCTGACACTTGGTGGACTTTGTTATAAATGGAGATGAGACATATTTTCATATTCATTCTGTTTTGTGATCCTTTATGACAGGTGGCCCTCAGTTGTTAATAAATGTCCATTAACTTTTGACTCCTATGTGCTTTACAACTATAAGCTCAAATTTGTTGCTCTTAAATTTTGCTGGTAATGATCCTTGTTGTACTACATTGGAGCATTTATTATGATTCGATACCTGGGATTCCAGGTCCTGGCAAGAATACCTTTAATTTTGTAGATGAAGGGCTTTTATATATTTAAAGTCTAAATATCATTTTAGAGATGTGTTTAAAGTTACTTTTTTATATTTAGAGTAAGGGTACAATTGTCGTATGATTTATAACATATTTTTCTAAAATGTTTCCTCTTTTCTAGTTTATCTTGCCTCACCTGTTATTGATATATACAAACTCTTTTGCTATTGTACCTCTACCTGCCATTTAAATTGCTTCCTAGCAAGTAAGATTTAATAGAAAGCAAAGATTTGGGAGCTGCTTTTCTTTATATTGCCACAATCAATAAATTAATGGGTTGCATTAGGCAACTTTGGTCATTTGATCCACTCATTAATACCTCCTTTAATTTACGTTGGTGTTGAAAACTGGAAAAAATGAGTATGCTATTTGGAAAATGCATTGCATACGATGCAAAATCCACGCACACGTATTGTTTATGTTAGTGCTTGTTTATTACCTGCCTTGCCCACCACGTCTCTGGCTGCAGTTTCAGTGCTGCCACTCCCAGGGCCATCCGACCCTTGTGCCAGGCATGCAGACGTAGAGACAGGCTGCTGTCAGCAGGAACTCGCACAAAACTCAGAAAATGCGTGTTTGTCTTGCGGCTTAAGTTGGAAATTATTTCACGTATTTCCTATGCAGAAAAAGGAAAAGAAAGGGCTGTTTCTTGCAGCCTTGGGGAGATGTATTTTGGAGCAGGCTGTTGAAAGCTTTCAGGAGCGTTCTGGGTACCTGAACTCCACCTGCCCTCGCTGAGCATCCGCCGCTCTCGGGGCCGGCACGGGCCGGGCTCGGCGCTGACCGAGGTCCGCTCGGGCCGCGCGCTGCCGGCGGGGCGATCGCTGCGGGGCCGCGCCGCCCGGCGCCACGCGGTGGCGCTGCCGCGCTGCCGCGGCCGGGCTGTGAGGGCGCTGCGGGCTGCTCCCGCCGCCGGCCGGGGGTCCCGGCATGGCCGCTGCTCCTCCGCGTCTGCCGCAGCTGACACCCGCTTTGCCCCACGGATCCTCGGTGCTTCCTCCATGGGGTGGTGTGTCCTGGTGAGTCTCCTGGTTCTCGCTCCTTTCCCCCATGGTAACATGGGAGCAGTCGGTGTAGTTTTAAGGGAGTTTGCTAGAAATGCCTATCGAAGTCCAGATTTTACAGATCTCTGGAAACGTGTAGGGAAGTTTCATTTTTGTTACAGAAAATGTCCGGATTTAAGAGTGGGCAAAGGAGAACCCCTTTTCCCTGGGTCCTAGACTGTTAAAGGCACATGTACTTTAGGGCTCTCATTAACGCCCGTGTGATCTTCCTGCAGGTCCGGCTGGAGGTGTGATTGGGATGTCAGGATGCAGTGTGTCCTCGTAGCAGCTCTGCCTTCTTGTTCTTGAAATCTCTGACTTTGTGACAGTTTGGAAATGCTTTAGGACCCTATACCATGACTCTTTGTAAGGAATAGTGCTACAAGTTTTTCTGTGGACGCTGCAATACTGAGGAAATTATCACAGGTTATCACAGGTTGGTTTCCTGAGGTGTTATAAACACACAGTTTTGTGATCTGGTTCACAGCAATGACAGCCAGGGATTTGTTAATACAGCAAAATAAATATGTAAATTACTAGACTTCTGTTGTGTTTGTGACTTAAACAGGTCACAAAAAGGGCCTGGCAGTGGCAGGGAGACGGTAAAACAGCACTTTTGGGCATGGGAGAAGGACATGGGACTATGGACAAGGCAGAGCTTCTTCCACTTTTGGCAGCAGAGATTAGAGCTTCTTTATCTCTTTGTCTAGTGCCATATAAATTTGTACATCTAGGCAACCTACCAAGTTAATGGAAGCAGGGAGGTTTGCAATTAAAGAACTCAGATTACTCTTGATAGGATCCATGGACTGTATCGCTTACTTGCATATTTGTTTCAAAAAAAAAAAAAATAGAGATAGCGTGTGTAGTATCTTCAGCCAAAGAATTAAAGAGACTATTGATAGACGTTGAGAAATTACACTGAAAATATTCCAGATAGCCTTTGATCTGACCAATGATGGTTGGTTACAACAGGATGAATCTGCAGTGCACTGCTCTCATTTCAGTGGAGTTTTTCCTTGTTTTATGTCAGATGAATCTAAACCTAAATGCAGGTTTTTGTATGTAGGTTTTAATCTTTATATGGGCCAAGACTGCCTTTCTGACAGGTAACTTAGTTGCCATCTGAGATTGCTTTGTGCCAACATAATGGAGTACAGAACTTTTGCTTACTTTAAGCCTCTTGATCTAGGTTCTCAATTCCTTCTCAATGTTTCTTTCATTAATCTAAAAAGACAAGAATAATCCAATTTTTATTGCAGAAGATCTTTATGAATTATTCTAGCAAGTACTCAGAGGAATGCAAAGCAGTAACTAAAAGTATATTAAAGTTTGTGACCCGAGTCCTATTAAATGTATGCATGCGTAGCTACAGAATTAGTACACAAGTCTGTAGAGAGCACTGTGAGCTTACTCTGTGTTGGCCAAAACCATTTTTAGATTTAGCAGAAGGTGAGCACTTGTTCTGTCTTCCACATCTGCTGCTACAGCCTGACCTTTCACAAAGCAGTTTCAGGAGAGCTGCTTCTGTGGGGCCACAAAGTGGAGCAACTCCTCAGGGCTTCCCCTCTGTCCCCTCGTGAAGCAGGAGGTTGCTTCATGCTTTGCTGTCCTACTCTAGGAAAAATCCATTTTTC